AAATGATAATTTCAATTTATTCTACGGTTTATTTTAAAGCATACGCAATATTTTTTTTTTCAACTGCTTTAGTGTTGTTTTTTTGTTTGTTTGAATGTATGTTATGTTTTCGCCAAAAACTAATGTATACTCGCTCTTTGTACTTGCTTACTATCCAAAAGCACATTTAAGACGTCTATTGTTCTTGATACCCGGAACTACGAGGTAATTCTCTATGACAAAGGATGATTGACCATATGGTCGACGGACTGCTACATAAACGCTTCCGCATGAATACACTATAGCCGACATAAACTTAGATGAGGATCTGATATTCCATAAAAAAATAACACATAAAACCAACGATCATAATAATTTTCACTTGTGCCAAATAAATAATCGATAATTTATAGTTAAAACCGCTTGTGAAAGTTGCCAAAATAGATAGAGAATAGTTTTGAATATTTTGAAAACACTTCTACTCTCTTTTATTATCTGTTCCGTGTTTATTGGATTTTTATAAACTTCATGTTTACTCTAGTGAGATATTCAATATATTATGAAATCTAGTGGTACACAGATATCAATTCTCGCACTAGTATGATATTCTTTAAATTTTGATTTTTGTTCAATATAACTTATAAAGCTAAGCAAATGAAAGACTACATAATTCGTAAGTTGGCATACTATTTTGAAGTTGGCATACTATTTATTACAGTTCACTATTTTTGGAGGTTAACTGACGAAACTGGTCACTTTGATTCTTGTAATTTAATTATATTGTTCTATAGTGTGTCCATCCAGGTAATGTCTGCTGTAGTGTCAGTTTGGCAGTTTCCTCTACCAATTAAAAAATTAGATTGAAGTCTACTTCTTTTATCAGCTTTTTGCTATTCTTAGTGGAAGAATATTTATACACATAAAATAGTGTACTTTTATTATTATAAATTATGTATTCCCTGGACCCAGCGCTTAGTCTATTGCGGAATTCTAAGTCTGCGTCCGAGATCTGTGGCAGAATCTAGTGAAATGGGTTTACTCTGTGACAGCTTTCACAAAACCTGTGTTCTGAAGAATTTTTTACTTATATGGTCGTACAAGTGGGAATTTGTAGGATTTCTGGAGTCCAACTCATTGAACAAGGATGGACCTTTTGTTTCCCTATAATTGTACCTGTTTAGATTCCCTAATAATAAATGACCCAAAAAATCTATTTCCACGATAGGTCTTAATTTCACCATAATTACTAGATAGTTTTAATGGATATTTTATTACTTGTGGTCTTTGAGTAGAACGCTTAAAATTACCTGATTCGAATGACTTTGGAATTATACAATAGTGACAATTATTACTTATTGTGAAATCACCTGACATACACCTGTATAAGATTTGATATTATACAACAGTAACAATTATATTGAATAATGGTTTTTAGAGAACATATTCATAGATGTAATTATCTTAATTGCACTAAAAAAAGTTATTAAAGACATGTTCAAATTTGAAGATTAGAAAGTGATATCTCAAATGCGCACAGAATTTTTTCAAAATATATAGGATTGTTTAAAAAGCAAACAATTCATTAAATGTCATTTTTTGTGAAAAAATAGGTTATTAAAATTTATTAGTTATGTTAAAGATTTTGTGACTATAGAGGTTCTGCTTTAGGATTTTGTGACTATAGAGGTTCTGCTTCATGTTTTATTATACAACACTTTTGAGGGCAGAACAGGCCTTAATCATAACACAGGCCAACAAAGAAAATGGTGCAAACGATTTTAATACTGTTTTTAAGTATATTTGGGGCGCTGATTTCAAAAATGACATTTGTTTTTTTCTATGAGCATTAGTTTTCAAGATATGATATATATGATATATAAAGAATGAAAGTACAAAATAGTAATACAATTCAGAATGTTATTTTAATGAGATATGCCTACTCGTACATACAAACTTACAAGATCCATTCGGCCTTTGTTAATTGACACTGTGAAAAGTTCTTTTCCGTGACGACCTAGAATGGACCTGGTTTCGGCAACTTTTTTCCAAGTTCCAAACTAAAGATTTGAAATCAGCGCAAAAAATACTATAAGAATCAGCTCTAACATTTGATGCACTAAACAAAAAAAATTTTTTGTAGGCCTGTGTAATTTGATTAATAAAAATTTTACAATACTACAAGGCAACCAATTCTGATGGCTTATCAAAGTATGCGTAACGGTTTGCATCTAGTGCGTAATTTTATTTAAAAAATTCCCTTGAAGACAACCTAGAATTATAATAGCTTTACATTTACACTAAACAGAATGTAATTGTTTTTACTACCTTCACAAAAATGTCATTTTGAAACAATAGATGATGTAAAACGTATATTTTCACACAATTGTACCACTATTCGTAATCTAAAATGTTTATCACGTAGAAGCTTCATATCTATACATCCAAAGCCGTTGATTGCTTAAATAAATATTTGAAAAAGTCATTATCACCTCGCGCATTCCACGGCGTACTAATCATACATCCAAGTACTAATCCCATTGCAATCCTTAAAGAAACCGTGATCATTAGTGCGAAAATTCAAATACCTATGCCTTTATAAATTATTATTCCTATATACATGATTTATTGCTTCATGTGGATTTTTATCCACGATGAATGGATATTGCTTTTTTGTTAATTATGTTGTATCATTGTGGGTATTTGTTATCTATATCAAACGTGAAGTGTTTATTGGAATTCCTCGTACTAAAGAAAACACGTAGAAATGAGTGTATTGTATAAATAGAACAATAGTCTTTGTGGCGCACAAGTAACAAGTTCCGTAGTGAAATTTTTGTTATTGTCAAACATTTTATTATATTAATTATTTCAGTGAGTTTTTGGTGTTTTTGCGAATTAAGTTATTATTAGTAGAAGTAAACGGATAGTGAATTAGGTTTGTGGAAAAATGTTTGCTTTTGTGATGCACAAACCATGAAATTGACATGGTAATCGGATTCAGATTTATTTGTTTATGTCAAGCATGTTTGGTATATGACTTACAGTTTTTTCCATCTGCAAATACTCGAGATAGGATTTAAAAAAATATCATTTATTACTTAATATAAAAATAAATAAATCAATAGGACCTTGATTATTTGTAATCCAAAGAGGGATATCCTAAAAGTAGAAATCTATATTTGTAGCAATTAAAAAAGATGTGAACTGAGCATTTTGCGTTTATCTACTTTAAAGATAATAATCATTCAAATAATTAATAATAATATACTTTGAGATCTATCTTAACAACTTCAATTCTTACAACTACAGTTGGTCAGCTGATGATCTCTAAATATAAGATTATATATTTATTAATTGAATAATAACTGAACATTGCTCAGCATTTTCATTATTATTATGAGTGCTATGATTGAATTATTCCATATTGTGACGCCAATCGTCACAATATTAAAATTAAATAGAAACTTTATTAATTTTTTTAAAAAATGGCATATCCTAAAAGTAGAAATTTATTTTTGTAGCAATTAAAACAGATATTAATTGAGCATTTCGCTTTTTAGTCCAGTCATTATAGTAAGTGCACTTCGGAATTCGAGTTACCCAATTGTAAGTCTGTAAATACTTGTATATTGCCACCTAAAAGTTGTCTCAAAACCTACATTTGTTGCGTACACCCTACCATATGTAGGTTTTGAGACAACTTTTAGGTGTCAATATACAAGTATTTACAGGCTTACAGCTAGGTATCTCGAATTCCGAAATTCTTACCTAATTTAAGCTTAAATGACTGGACTATTATCTACCAACTTCAATTCTTGCAATTACAGTTGGTCAGCTGATGATCTCTAAATATAAGATTATATATTTATTAATTGAATAATAGTTGAACGTTGCTCAGCATTTTTATCATTATTATGACTACTATGACTGAAATATTCCATATTGTAACGACAATCGTTACAATAATAAAATTAAAATAGTCACAATATTAAAATTTTATTATCAAATTGATCTAAGAGTCACGAATAACTCAGTTGTAGGTTTGCTATGTATATGAAGTAATTAATATTAATAATGATGACGATAAATTTAAAAGATAAATAAAGAAATATTATGAGGAAATTGAAGACAAAGAAAACTGAAGAGTTATATAAAGATATTTAATTTATAATAGATATTATATTAATGAAATAGTCAAATAAAATGTATATATAAAATATGAAAACTGTTTTCATAATCTCTCATACTAGGTACCTCTGTCTGTCTGAGATATGAAAATAATGACCTATACATAGGAAATGATTCAGTATCTTTGTGAATTTTATTAAATAGCACTGTCCTTTTAAGTACGACATTTAAAGCTTGAAATGTATGAGAAAGTTTATTTTAAAATGGTAATAAACATAATTCAGAGAAAATATTTATAATATATAATTTAAGCGAATAGAATCCAAAAATAATTTAAATATTTTTATAATCATTAACTTCTACTTATTTCAATATATAAAATACCAAAATCTACATTACTATATATACTTATCCATGACCGAGTCTAATTAATTCAAATTTTTATAATTGTGTTATTGTTACAACAAAGTATGACCTTCTGCGTAAATTATTGCGATCATGTATTAAAAAATGAAATATTATACGTTTCATAATATTTAAACCAATAAAGCAACACAAGAACGAAAATTGCAATTTTTTATTACCACGGTCTTAGAAAGGGGATTCATGATTAATTTATCCTTGAAATTTATTTTAATTGTCTCTTGAAATTTTGACTTGAAGCAATTTTTTAATAAATTACAAAATAATTACAAATAATAAATTGTCAAATTTAAAAGAAACTTCAACATTGGGAAGGTAGATATGAGTAAAAATTTAGATTTTGTGAATTAATCTTGACCAATAAAGTTTCTGCAATTGAAAAATTTTTACTTCGTTAAGCGTTATTCATTTTAAAATCTATATATTTATTTTGTCTTTATTAGAACAAAAGTGAAAAATACAGAAAACATTTAATACTTTATGAAGCTATTAAAAGAAACTAATTGTAGTTAATGTAAACGTGGTGCCAAAAGTGATTTAGTCAATCAAAAAAACCATGTGAAGTGTTTGCAATATCTAAACCTATGGGATAAACAAAAAAACAACTATTACTCCAATTTATTACCATGTGGAATGCACTTGGTGGCGCAACTGCCGCCGTTTTGCCAACTACGGCATCGACAGCCTATCATGAGAAATGGACGCCCCAACCCCAACAGAGTTCTCCCCAGCAAAAAATATTGCATCAGCATCAAAATCACAGGCAACCCCAACAAAGGACACCTTCCATGTCCATGCCTCACCATCAAAATGGATCGACTGGAAATAATGGGTCGGCCAACCTTAGATGGCAAAAGTCAGACGCAGGCGCATCTGCAGGAGTGGCCAGTAAATTGAGAAATAGGGAATCGGTAAGTTCAAAAACACTTGAAAGATGAGATTATGAGAGGTGAAAGGTAGATTTTCAAGGAAATTTGAAGGATAAGTGGCGATTCTTGTACAGAGATGTCTGAATTTTTTTTAATAGTCACATAATTATGTCTCGTAAAATTCAACGGAATCGTTGAAGAACATTCTTCTAAAATCCCAAACGTTTTACTCTAGTAGCAGTAGTTGGTTTGGTATAAATGACAAAAGTTTTCGTGAATTTTCATCAAGGATAAAAGATACGAAATAATAATGATACCAAAAAATAAGGATATTAGAAGATACCTATAGATGAAACTTTCTTAATATACTTTATTTTTTTCGACGATTTTTATTATTATTTTTTTGACGGTAGATACCATAGTCTTCTAGATCATACTAAAATATTATGGCCCTACGACAACCCGTTTAGCTTTAAAAATTCGTCAAAATGTGCAAAATTGGAAATAAGTGTTAAACTTTTCGTCCACATTTAAGGACATACTACCGATTCGATTTTAAAAAATCAAAAACTGTTCGAAAGATATTAGTTGGGAATGAAACTGATTATTTTTAGGTGAAAATTTACCGAGCCGTTTTCTTGTAATTAATAGTTGAAAAAAAAAATTGAGCCGAAATTTTTATGAAACTTTTTTTGATGATATATATCATGGTTTATACAACTTATTGAAATACTACGACCTTACAACAAGTAGTTTAATTTTTAAAAATTCATCAAAGTTTAAGAAAATGAGTAGTTTTTTGACGTTCGTTACAATTAAAATTAGACGATTTTACTTGGTATAATGTTAGAGCACTTGGTTTTAATGAACTTATCAAGCCATTAAGGTCCTATGGAAACTAGTTCAATTATAAAAATTGTTGATTTCTGAGAATTTAATTTTTGAAAATACTCTGTGTCAAAGTGTTCGCTCGTTTTCAATTATGTGTAATAAATCCACTCGGAATACTTTTAATCACTCATAAATTAATTTATTTTTTATTGATTAAGTCGATTAATTACACATATCGGGAAGTTCATGTAACTTGCCTCAAGGCAAAATACCAAACCAACTAGTCAAATTTTATCAAATGATTTAAAATATAATTAATTAATCCTTTCCACTCAGATATTTCGGAGAAAAATTCATATAGATCTCGGAAATCACGAGTGGAAAGGGTTAAGAAATATACTAAAAATTGTTATGAATATAATAATCTAGTATATTGATTAGTATTCATTATTTATATGATTTTTTTTTTATTAAAGTAAATTGTATTGTACTATTGAGACGCATCTCTAGTTTTCTTTTATATGAAACCATCAAGTCTTTGATGAATTTTTTACCAGAGTCTTTAATATATAGAAAACTAATAAAAAAAAAGTATAGTGAGTATATCTTAAACTTTTCTGAAATATATTCCACGTAATTTAAAACTCGCTAGTAGTTTGAAATCGATAGCAAAACCTTTAGATGTCAGGTGAGAGTTCCCATGATATTTTCAATGGTTGAACGACTGTCAAATTCCAAGTATTATATAAACTAATTATACTGCTTGATTGATTATTAGATCAATATTCGAAAAGCAATTTAATATAATTAGTGCAAGGTTCAAAAATTAATCGAAACATTATATCATTATACAAAGGCTGATTATAGGGTGTTCACATTTTCTGACAATTTTGTTACATAGATATAAAAACCTACTGACTTATTACTTAATACTATTGTTGACAAAATTTAATACATACATTTTCTTTTAGCAGTTTTTTTAGTTTTCATTGGATTTATTTACCGATATTATCAACTGAACAGATTTTTAGACTTACCCTAAATTCACGAAAATCTGATAAAATATAATACAAACTACTTATATTTTTTATATATATATATATATATATATATATATATATATTTATATATAACCCAATTTCGTAGTTTGATTTCATATCAAATCGGAAATTGAAATTTCAAGTGTTTATTGGCATTCTATTTTGCCAATAGTTATGCAAATATTTCGCGCGCTTCTTAACCCTCAACTTGTGATAGAATCTACTGTTCAATTTTGATAAGATTTAGATATTTGATATGTGCTCAAGTACCTCTAAAAATAAAATACGCTCTTGCTATCAAAAATTAAAATAAAATATTGAAAATGTATTCCTAAGTTTAAAAAATATAAAATTATAATTAAAAATTAAAAATATTTATATAGGAATATTAGAAGCTTTATATTTGTGTATTATAAAATTTAAAAATATTGAATTAAATACTTCTGGTATATTGTTCGACAATGATTGAGTGAGCATTTAATTCAATGGATTTTTGTCACAATTCACCATCAGGCAAATCCCAGAATGTTACTAATGTATAAAAATATACGTGCATGGGAAAAGTATATTGTAATGCTCGATATTCATACTTATAAGTAAGCCTTTAACAAAGCCTCTCATTTTCAATACATTTTACCATAGCAGCCATCCATTCGATGTGGAATTTCTTGAAAATGTTTTTGAAGGTATTTCATTTTCCGACAATACGATTTTATTATTCATTCTTCCTAAATGTAGAGTATGCATGTTTTATATTCCGTTGATCGAATATCTGAAGAAGAAAACGAATCGAATGGCTGTCATACTCCATTATTTGCTTCAGAGAATTCAAGTATTTAAATTATATGTACGGAAAAATGTGCACTGTTGTGGAAAACGATTATGTTATTAGGAATTGTAACATTTTTTGCGAGTACAATATTTTCTTTACCTTCGATCGATATCAGTAATGGGAAAATGATACAAATGATATGAAAATCTGCGTAGCTCCTGAATATTATAAAAACTGAAATTTTGTTCATCTTCAAATGTAAGATAATATAACTTAAATTTGTGTGAAGTGGTATTGAAGGTTAATTTGTATTCTTTTTTTAACAATTAGTTTTATTGCCAAAAAGTGTAATTTCGATTATAGTTGATACGGTCCTATCTGGTCTCAAACTCTTTTTTTTGTGAGTGTGAAAACTTACACATCCAAATGACAAAATTGGACTCCAAGCTTTCATTCAATTTTATTATCAGACCATAAATTACTCGAGATGTAAAAATTAAGAATATATGCATGGTGCATGTTACTAAATCATAAGATATTATTAATATTATTATTATTTTTTAATTTATTTGAACAGCGATCAGAACTTATTTTATGAGCTGTTGTGATGAATCTCTTACAAACTACGTTTGTTTTTATTATAGATGGCAACCCAAACAGTTGTCTCATCTCCATGTGCTGAATTTTTATTATTACAATTGTGGTAATAGTGATGACTTTTTTTATTAGTGCAGCAATGCCGTATTTTCACTTGGAAATATATTGCTATCTATAAATCATAAGATATGAATACGAATATTCGCACTATCCCTGAACTTTCTATATGTATATATTGGCATGTAAATGCCAACAAGGTATGATATTAAATTTTTATTATTATAAATACTGATAAAGTATTATTATATTATGTCGCATTACGTAGAATACAGTCGGCTTTGTTTCAGATAAAACAAGTAATAATTTCAGACTAACAGTCAATTACGATCAACTTGTTTCAAACTTTTATATTTCAGTCGACTGTATAAATTGTCCCGCCGTCATTTTATATACGAGGTCTTAGAAAGTAAATGTCAGTGAATTCTATACTCATAAGAATGGTCTTACCATGAGTCAGAATGTTATTGTTTAAAAATTTACAATCATTGTCAATATTGTCATTTGCAATATTGTTATCATTGCAGCCTTTAAGCTGCACTTATGATTTGTTATATTTACATTTATTTTATTAATTTTTATGGCTGTGAAATCTTACAAATTACCTTTTTAACGATTATTTTAAGTGTAGGCTCGTGTTCTTAACTCCAATATAATGTTGTTAAATGTGTATCAATAATATACAATAAAACTCATTAAAAAATTTAAAGAAATATATTCGATCTATGTTAATTTGGAGCTGGGTAAACTTGATGGAAAAAGTATAGTTGAATCAACCAGTCGTAAAGTTACTCTTAATTTTTGTCTACGTTTCAAAATTAATTTTGCCTTTATCGTATTTAGCTTTAAATTTGCATATTTGCACAATTTTTTACACAGGTACATTTTCTAAATCAGTTTTCGAGTCAAATGCAACATATCTTAAGCCCGGTGCACACGAGGCTAGTATTCCTTGTAACATGATTTCTATCGTAACAGGATTTCTAGCGAGCAAGAATTTTGCGCCAGATTTTCACTTATTTTATTATTAATATTAATTTCGTGCATTTTCAAATAGATTATTATAAATATACTCTGTGAATTTCACAATTTATATTTTATAGGTCTAAAATACACTAATGCTTATAGGTGTACAAACAGGGAATTGTATGAATTGTAAACAAAAACATGTATGTATCGCATCTGATTAGAATTAGGTGAAACAATAATAATTAAAAGATAATAAAATGCTTCAGTTTAGGGGGCACAACTAGTGTGAAATTTTCAAAAAGTCGAATTTTCAATTTTTCATATTTCGATAGGTTATACCTTTAAAAATAACATACCAAAATTTTAAATCGATATCTTAAATAGTTTTTGAGTCACAGCCATTTAAAGAGTATATACATAGTATATAGTATAACGATCATTTTATCTTTAAACGCGTTTTTCTCGAAACAGCATTTTTCGAATTTGCTGCAGCGATTACTCAAAAACAAATGATCCGATCACTATCAATTTTTTTGTACATGCTTTATATATAGTTCTCGTAAAATAAACTATCGATTTTTTGATAGGATCAAAAATCGAATTTTGGCAGTCCAAAAACTTTTTTATAAAAAACGCCGCCATTTAATCATTTTTTGATTTCTGTTTTATCATAGTTCATTTTACAGACAACATTATCTAGTTTAACGATTTTTTTTTTTGGATTTGATCCACGTAGAAGGCCGGAATCACTGCAGCAGTGAAAGGCCTTTTTTGTGCCGTTGGAGATCGACGATAACTTAAAAGATATTTAGTTTTTTTCTTCAAAAATTTTGAGATGTGCTGATTAGTTTTTGTCAAAGGCAGGTCCAGCAATTACGGAGATAAAGAGCAATGAGTGCAGAAAATTTAAATCGATCATTTCGTTACGGTACGGGAAGTTCCAGCAATTTGCTTTAAGGCATGATGCCATACACCCAACTAATTTTTTTTTAATTTTGAGTATTTTTGCAAATTTCGAAATTTTTGAAATAAAACGATTTGAATTTTTTTGTAATTTTTTGGAAATTTTGCATTTTTTTGATATTTCAGATAAAATTACGAAAAAAATGCATATTTAAATTTTTTCGGAAATTTGAATATTTTAAAATTACTGAACTGCCTTTCCTAAACTAATCATTTATTCACGCCGCTATATATACACAATAGCTATTTACAAAATAAAAACTAAGCGCTTCCAAAATCGAAGTAAATGAATCAAGTACGCATTGATATTTTCGTGTCAAAATACAGCTTTCCTATTGGACACTGAAGGTATCGGCCACGAGATCGTTCATCTATCGCCGACATAGGACATGCTCCATTCGTAAAATACGGCAGGAATTTGCAAGGACTGAAGTTGTTATGAAATCAAATTTCGACGTTGTTAAGGCAACGGTTTTACTTAGAAATTATGATGAGTATACCGCCCTTGTGAATGCGTGAAATCTAGCAGGCCAGATCGCAAATTATGTCGCGCAAGATCGTAAATTATGGTTTATCATGTCGTTCCTAGGGTAACAAACAAACAAAAACTGTCCAGCATGAAAACTGGCGTCGTGTGCACCGGGCTTTAGAATAATTTGTAGTGAACTTATCCAGGATATATTCCTAGAGTAATAGTACATTTGTTATATTTTATATATTTTTGGTAATTCTTATCTATGTTAGCTGATTTTTAAAATTCTTATATTTATAAAATTCTTGTCTACTTTATATCTTTTTTTTTACTTTATATTTTTTAAACAATTGTGTAAACTGCTAATTTTTGAATAATGATGTGACATTGTGAAATCTAGGAATAGGTTTATTTTTAAATTTATCAACATGTCAGTGCAAATTTTGTAACCAAGATTCAACACCTTCAAGAAACATGTAATGTTTTTTAGCTTTTTTAAAATTTTGTAATAAGTGATATAAAATAACAAGTCAATATTGCAATTAACAAAATTTTTTATGAAACATTTTATAATTCCAATTAATTAATTAAAATAAATTATGAAATACTACTTCAAAGTGCTATTACTATTATTACCTTTTTCCGGATGCTCTTCCATAATTACTGCACTTTCACTATCTCGCAAATTGAAGTAGCAACTAACCAGCTTTAAACATATAATTACAGTCACAACAATTGAATTTAATTGCAAAAAAATTGAATATGAAGGATTTCAATTTAGATTGCAAAAAAGCAAGACGAATTTTATAAAAATAATATAAATCCAGTGTTATTGTATTGGAAATGTTTGGTATATCAAGGTTACTTGTAATTTATTTATGTTTTCGAGCGTATAGTGTCAAATTAGTTACGCCATTGGATTTTATAGATTATTGTATGATTTATTGTTCTATTATAATAACAAATTGAATGCTAATGTTGATCTTGAGGCATTAATTCCATTACGATTTATCTTGATCTCATTATATTCGATTCGAACACAAGAGTATGCAATATTTTATAGGTTGTTATAGATTGCAATTCATTTTACGTATAATTGGTCAAGTAATTGGTGAGTTATAATTTTCGTTTCTGTATCTTGTTTCATAAGAAAACGAACGGACCCTATTATCACCTTAAAAATAAGGCGCATATTTAATCCACTGAAGACGAAGGGGAATTTTTATTTCGAAGAGGTCGGAGAATATTTCACCCAATTTTTTTTGACAATGACATGTTTTTAGTTTATAAATATATTAGGTAGAATATCTCGGACGTAGTCTAGAGTCTTTTTATATTTTGCCCAATATTGAACATTTCTAACACTTTTCCAGAGTTTATCCTTTCATCACTTGTTAAAATATAAGTTTTATTATTACTTTCACTTGTCAAGATATAATTTTTATATTTTACCCAATATTGAACATTTCTAACACTTTTTCAGAGTTTATTCTTTCATCACTTGTTAAAATATAATTTTTATTATTATTTTCACTTGTCAATATATAATTTTTATATTTTGCCCAATATTGAACATTTCTAACACTTTTCCAGAGTTTATCCTTTCATCACTTGTTAAAATATAATTTTTATGATTATTTTATATTTTGCCCAATATTGAACATTTCTAACACTTTTCCAGAGTTTATCCTTTCATCACTTGTTAAAATATAAATTTTATGATTATTTTCACTTGTCAAGATATAATTTTTATATTTTGCCCAATATTGAACATTTCTAACACTTTTCCAGAGTTTGCCCTTTCATCACTTGTTAAAATTTTTTTCCCGTAAAAGCCCATTTGCATTAAATGGCTAGAATTAAAGTGCAAGATTAGTATAGATTTTTTTTTAAATTAAAAATTCTTAGCAGCAACCATATGTTGAAAAAAATCACTCTTTTTAATATACTTTCTCTTAGGGTAAGTATACAATTTTTAATGTAATAGATACTTACAGTGTTTGCTCCAAAATGTCTAATGCAATTATTTTTTATTCACAATATTTTATTTATAAATTGTCTATCAAATTGGGTGTGTTGGTGTTGGTTTTATATATATTTGCGGTCAATATTACCAGCAATGTCTCTGATCCAGATGCTGCATAGACATAAGGTTCCCTATTCTTCCTTTTAGAACGATCTCATCAGCATAAACCAAGAAAACCATCCAAGATATTATCTATCCTTTAATTATCCTCTGTGCGGGATATTCTGAAGATTTATGGTGTGAACATTAAAAAAATAATTACGTGACCAGTTATGCTTTTAAGTTGCCCCTGCGGGAGGCGGATTGCAAGCCAGGTCAATACGATTAACCTGCCGCGTTTGTTCCAATGCGAGTATAAAATTTTACCTTCAACATAAGTAACATTTATCAATGGGAATTGCACAATATTAGCGCTCTGCATCGAAGAAACGCTCACACAATTGATAATAAATATATATTATAATGGTAATTGAGTTAGGTGATACATTCTTACAATGTAGGGAAATAAAATCGTAGTAAATGATGAGTCTTATGTATTGCTTTGGGACTAAGTCTAAATGTTAAATCATCTATGGGTTAGAGAACCATCAGGTTGCATAATTTGATACATTTATGCATTTATCAGCATCAGATGTTGTTATTCTCTCATTTTGGTTACCTAATACTCGTTTCAGCTTTCACCGATCTTCCACAATATGGTGCACTTTGGCATCAAAATTGCTGCTGAACAAAATAAGGATCTGATGTAAAGTACCACTAAGTCTGATCTCTTGAGTTTAAATATTCCATAACCATCGGTTAATTTCTTACTATCTCCAAAAGCATTTTGACCTTTACTTACATTTAGTTACATTGTAGTATTTAGTAAATATACCTAATGATTCCTTCTTCTTCTATTTACAGAAAGTCGATCCAGAGAAAATTTTCACGAAGCAGGAACGAATCGGTAAAGGATCATTCGGCGAAGTCTTCAAAGGAATAGATAATCGAACTCAGCAAGTGGTAGCTATCAAAATAATTGATCTCGAAGAAGCCGAAGATGAAATCGAGGATATTCAGCAAGAAATTATGGTCCTGTCACAATGCGACAGTCCTTTCGTCACCAAGTACTACGGGTCATACCTTAAGGTAATTGAATTATATTGAGGTATTCCAAATTATGCTAGAATTCGATTAGTGATAATTATAGGACAAATGTCTAAATTATTGTATAGGATATCTCATAGGTTGTTTTTATACTTGGTTTATTATATACATTTTTAAAAAATATAAAAAGGTCTAAAATATATGTTGTATAAATGGTTTTAATGACAATTTCTTTTTTATCCAATTTGGCCTGCTAGTTTCGAAATCCGAAAGCATCTTTTGATTTTATCTTCATTATTAAAGTATTTAAAAATCTAAACGTTAGACTTAGCTAAGGTTTGTTATCTTTCACTTTAGCTAGTTAATTTTGGAAATAAAAAAGAAGCACAATTGCAAAGGCAATCAAGTTGACCAATACATGATGATATAATATTGATTTATTCAACATGTTTCACGAAACATGAATAATAAATTTATAATAAACATGGTTTTGAACGGCTTATTCACATCTTGCCATGGTTTTATTATACATTTATATGCAAATATAAATCCCAATTCCTATAACATCTATCGCTTTTCTTTTAGGGCACGAAGTTATGGATAATAATGGAATATCTTGGAGGCGGATCGGCATTAGACCTGATGAAGGCGGGAATCTTCGAAGAAATGCACATAGCAGTTATTTTAAGAGAAGTTTTGAAAGGACTAGATTATTTACATAGTGAAAGGAAACTTCATAGGGATATTAAAGCTGCCAATGTTTTATTAAGTGAAATGGGAGATGTCAAATTAGCGGATTTCGGTAAGTGGTAATAGATTGATAAAGAATGGAATAGATGGAAAAAACCGTCTATATAAGAATCTTTCGGGTGAAACTATTTACGAAACATTATTTACGTCTCGACCAGATGAAATATCAACATATAGCAATTATGGCATTATATATCAAAGTTCGTTCTATAAATTTTCCCAAAAAGCTACAGATTTTTTTTTATCAGAACAAGATAGGTAGTAACATGGCGCGTCTGAAATTAAATTAACTATATTTTATGAATTATATATTATTAATAATCAACTTCTAAATTGTTTTTTTTTTCAGGTGTCGCCGGCCAATTAACAAATACGACAAGTAAACGTAATACATTCGTTGGAACGCCGTTCTGGATGGCCCCAGAAGTTATCAAGCAATCCGCCTACGATTCAAAAGCCGACATTTGGTCTTTAGGAATCACGGCCATCGAATTGGCCAAAGGAGAACCTCCAAATTCAGAACTGCATCCTATGCGAGTTTTATTCCTGATACCCAAAAATAATCCACCACAACTGACAGGAAACTACACGAAACAGTTCAAAGAATTTGTCGAGGCTTGTCTGAATAAAGATCCGGAAAATGTAAGTAGTAGAAATAAAGATTTAATTTGGAATACTATTGAGCTTCATTGGAATACCTGATCTATTTATTAACCCAACATTAACTCAACTTATAATTACCCCATGTGAAATTTTATATTGTTTTTATTATTTTTCCATTTATAGTATTTCTATTTATCATTTCTGCTATTGTGACATAATACTTTATTTTGTATCTGCATAGTATATGTCTGCATATTAATTTGATTTTATTATTTGCAGAGGCCTACAGCAAAGGAGCTTTTAAAATTCCATTTTATAAAGAAAGCGAAGAAGAATTCGTATTTAAGTGACTTGATAGACCGGTATAAAAAATGGAAATCTCAGAGGAGCGAAGAAAGCGAGACGGAATCGGAAAATTCTGATTCGTAAGTTGCATAATTCATAATGTAATGGTTATGCTATAAGTAATAAATATAATTTCTATTATTTAAAATTGTATTATTTGAAAAATGATACTAAATCCGAACAACAAATCCATGTTAAATTTTCACATACTTAATTTTCATATATGCTTTTATGTCATTTGCTACTTGTATCTTTACTACTTTAAATTTGTAATAAGAATATAAACAGATATATTATATATATATATATATATATATATATATCTTGAATAATTTTCATTGAATACCTTATTACAGAGAGGAATCGAAACAAGACATCGATTTAGACGAGCCTTGGATTATGACAGTTAAAGGTAAACATAACATGAAACCTTTGATGAACAACAGTTCGAGTAATTCTTCCAGTGGCAATAATGTCGATATGCAAAACATTCCGTCCCTTATTGTAAATAATCGAGAGCACCTGACACAGCAGCCAGATAATTTGGCCAGCAGCAAACATAATGGTAGTCAAAGCGCCCAAGCGAAGTCACCGCCTAAGGACAATAATTTAAATCACTACAAGCCTGCCCAGGTAAAAAAAAAATTATTATAGAATTTGAACTTATTTAATCAGGTTTTATAAAAAAATTATCAGTAATTATTAATAAAATTTAATATGTTAAATTATGATAATATGCTTTACTTCTCTGACATAATTATTATTTCATATTCTTTAAATTTACTACGGTATGTGTACTTATTCTCTGGTAAGTTTTACTAACCTTGTAATTTTTATAGATCCAATCCAGTTTTCTTTTTGTACCAAAATCTTGTCTATTTTTTTTTTTGCTTTCAACTCTTTGCAGCGTATACTTAAATCTTTGTCAGTCCACTTTTTCACAAATTTTCTCCATTTAAATTTCTTTTCATTAACTTTCTTGCCCTACCTTGCCCTACCTACCTTATGGTGGAATGTATGGCACTTTGTAGATAAATATTTGTAATATTTGGGATAATATTTTTGACTAACAATTTTTTGTTAATTTCAGCAAATTAGTTCTTCAGACAATCGAAAAGAAAGAGATCGAGATCGCGAACGAGAGAAGGCTAACAAGAGAGATCGTGAAGCCAGAGAATTACAAGAAAGGGAAAGGGATAGATTAAATGAGCGGGAAAGAGAACTTGATAGAGAGAATTTGAAAGAAATGTTGACCAGGGAGAAGAGATCTTCCAAGGATGTAAGTTTTGTACACATAAGTTTCATAAATTATTTTATATGCATACAAATCAAATACAATGGTACCCCGTCTTACGAGCGACTTTTCATACGATTTCTTTGATATACGAGTCTCGAAAAAAGCGGCTCGTTTGCTTCATCATACGAGCAAAATTCGAGATACGAGCCGCCAAAGGAGCGATTCGTTGTTTCGTCATACAAGCAAAATTCGAGATATGTTCAAGTGGGAGGCATAACGTAAACTTAAGGGGGTGCGAATGAAACTGGTTCATATAAAATCGCATTTATCTATCATACAAATATTTGAAGAAAATTATTTGAATATAATAATTTATTTATTTATTTTAATATAATAATTTTCTAGTCATTAATTTTAAGGGGGTATTCTAGTGTAGTAATTAAAAAAAAACGATTATTTTTTTATTTCATATTTTCAAAGTTTAACTATCTAAGAATATGGGTACGAGAAGGTTTTTGAAAATTTGAATTATTTTCGAAAATATAGGCATTTTACTGACTCGGTCTCCATACTGGTTTGGCTTCACGCAAAACTTTAAATGCGCTTTTCTCAGGACAGACTTTTTCAGTACTGTTGACACGATTTCTCGAGTTTTAATCGACTGATTCACTTGAAATGTTCAGAGAGTTTTGTTTATTGACCTATCTATAGCCCGAACTAGAGGATTATCCCCAAATTCCAATCTTTACTATTTTTAAAAAAATCGAGAAACTCAAAAAAACAGTAAAAAACACTTTTTTTTTAAACAATCGCCAATTTGTAAAAAAAAATTCTTTTTACTCATCGCTAGTTCGGGCGATTGCGACATTATTGTAGTAATTAATTCTTGTTTTGTATTTTAATAATATTAATAAACAAGTGGTAAAAAATGGATAGTAAAAACATTCATTGCTTTCTTTTACAACACTTTAAAAATGGCCTAAAATTCATCTCTCTACACTAGAATACATCTTAATGTTTTATGTTTGTTAGTTGAATGTGGGACAAAGTTGAAAAGTTTGTCGATAAAACTCACCCCGAAGAAGATGCAATTGGTCGAGCATAAGACTTGTTTGACGAAACATGTCTAACTCGTTATCGAAATACTATAATACGTTAAAAAAGGCTCATAGGATAGTTTTTTTTTAAACGCAAAAGCTAGTATAATTATAATTTAGCAGTTTTTATTTAGCAATTTTAGTAGAGTATGTATTTTATTTTTGCAATATAGTTTCAAAAAAACACTGTGCTGGAACGAATTAAGGGGGTTGTTTTTTTTTGTTACAAAAAATGCAATGAAAAAGGTCAATTTGAGAAAAACGTATTTAAAGTTTTTAATATAATGTACTAAATACACCATTTAATTTAATGTACTAAATACACCATGGTGTTTAAAGATGCTGACACATTAAAAAGGTCATGTGCATGAGGTATTATAATGAAAAAGAGAGCAGCTGGCATACAATAGCTCGCGGAGCGATGACAAAAACGCTTTCAGAGGATCATACATATAGAGATATATATCTATAACTTCGTCAAAAAAATAGATATTGAGATGATTTTTTTTTAAATAATTCTAAGGTTTTTAGTTTTCATAATATCAAAAAATCTCAAAATCGAAAAAAAAAAAAATTAAAAACCGAACAACCCCCTTAATGGCCTTTCAATGTGTTTTTTTTAAAAAAGATATTTCGAGATACAAGGAACTCCACACGCGAGCGTAGTTACCGAACGAATTAAGCTCGTAAGGCGGGACACTACTGTATTTATTATAGATTTGATTTCTCTACTTTTTGTAAGATATTAATAAATAATATTTTATCAGATAAGTCCTCTGGACCACAGAGGAGGCGACATGAACCACCACACGATGGATCAACACCAGCAACAGCAGAACGTCATGATTCAACCGCCAAAATCTCCTTCTTCCCCGGACAAGAAGTCTGGTGCCGCTTATTCCTTCTCTTCTGGTCACCGGAATAGCACGACGGTCGGCGGCAATGCTACCACGGTGATAAACTCTTCGGCGATTCAACCGCCGGCGGACCATGGACCGGTCAGCGTCAATTCGCCGGTCAACACGAACGGCAACCATCAACATTACGCCACGTGGGATAAAAGATCATCTATTCATAATAGCACAGGACCAAAAGATCGCACGTGTCTTTCGACTGTCATTTATCCACTTATTGCTGAGGTAATTTATTTACACAATCAAAACTAACCCCCGCATAACACGGTACTTCTATAACACGGATTCGCTCTAACACGGTTTAAGAATTGACACCATCCCCCTCATACACGGCATTTTCGGATTCGCATAACACGGTTTAAGAATTGAGGAAAGTTTTAATAAAATAAGAAATATAGTTAAACCTATGAAAATCTAAAATTAGTAAAGTTGCCGTACAATAGCTCAATAAATGTAATGAAACTAGTGCAAAAGATAACTAATTTGATATATATTATTAGAGCTCGTACGTTCTACCGGAAAACAAATTCTAGGATTATCCGAACAATATATTAAATAATTCTTAAGCCATTTTTTAAATAAGATGAGCAAAATAGTTTAATAAAGGTTACTTTACATATGTTAAATATATAAATATCATTTTGCTAATAGCAAGTAATCGCAAATATATTTGTTTCTTTTGCTACGTAGTTATAACATGTATTAAAACTCTCCTTCAATACTCAGGTTGTTGGGGTTATAATTTAACCCTTGTAGCTGTGGACTGTATTAAATACTGATTTGTTTGTATATTATGTATTTGTTGAAGTTCTAATTACAATCATTGATTTATTACTAAGTTATAAATGAAGAAAGAATATTTATTTTTATTTGTTATTTACATGTTGTTAAGCGGACTTTACTTTTAGAAGTGAACAACTAGTTCCATTAAAACACTCCGCTACCCCCTCTACCAGGGGTAGCAACCATTCCATGTAAAGCCTAATGCCCTGAAGTTTTGTCACTTTCATGGCCAATATAATAAAACGAAAAGACATCCGAACAATATTTCTTTTTGCGAAAAATAATGCACGGATCTAGTGGTAGTATAGAAAACTGCTCAGAAGATGAGGATATCTTGCAAAAAAGGATAATGTTGGATAGCACTTATTTGTTAATTATGACGAAAAAAATTATATAATTCAAGTAATGTATATTACTTCTGAAAAAAATGAATAAATGTAACAATATTTATTAAAATCATGATATATAGCATGTTTTGTTGAATTCTTGGAACGTAACCTGCCTTTTTGTACTAGTTCTTTGTCTCTTATAACACGGATTTGCATAACACGCTAGTTTTCTGGAACGTAACTACCGTGTTGTACGGGGGTTACCTGTATTATCAAATTTTGGACTAACAACAATAATTATCCTAATATTTATTCAAACTTTTATTATTTTTCTATTACTAATTAATACTTATTCTTTCAATTTACTAGAGTATATTTCTGGCAAGTTTCTTATTACGAGATTGCTCGTCAGTACATACTGCTTTGATATTTGTGAGTTTTATTTTTTGGCTTGTGATCTTCAAATTACTTAAAACACATTTAAGAGTTTTTCATTCCGGGTTATCTCGAATTTTTGAAAGTTTTTATTTTTGATTAATTTTAAATGATTAATCTAAAATTATGCATACAAATTTGAATTAAACAATGCCATATTATAATTTGCGGCTTGAAAATAGGCATGCAAGAGCAATATTAATTAATAAATTTATATATGGGATCGTTCAAGTATTACGTAAGCAGATTTATTACAATTATTTACCCCCTCATCCACCTTGTCAGCAAAAGTAAGCAAAGCTCTTACCCCCTAACCCCATGCTTACGTAAACATTTTGCAATTAATGTAAAAAAATAAAAAATACTACCTATGACGTAATCATCATCCACACTCCTCTCTGCCCCCCATGTCAACCCAAAATAAGCAAATCAACAACCCCTCCACCCCCCCTATAGTGCTTACGTAATACTTGAACGGTCCCTATGAAGAAAATTGTACAGAATTTTATACAATAGTTGAAACCGAAAAAGATTCAAGGATCAAAAAATGTGAATTTTTTGTACTCAGATTAAATTTTCAATAGTATTTCCAATGACTAGTTTAAAAAAAA